TACCACCTGTTGTGGGCCGAGTCGTGTCGTTTGTGGGATCGTTGGGGGTGGTGTCGTTTATGTACCAGCTGATTGATCTGTTTGTACCCCCAGTGCTCATTCATATCATAACGTTTTTGTTTACAATACCGTCTGAGTATTGGATTCTCTTCCTGCTGGTGCTATCATTTTTGTTGGGCCTGGTCATTGGCAAAACAACCATACCTATTTGTTTTGATTAGTTCTTGGATTAGAAATTGTTGCTAATGACCATGATTGCCATAAATTGGTATTGTATTTTGTTCAAAACCACTTCTGTAAAGAGCAGATCATGCCAAAACTTTCAATCTCTGTTTGGAAACAGCAGCCATCATTGCTGTTCTGTGTACAGGGAAGATGACAAACACATGTTTTCTGAATATCAAGGATTCAACTTCTTTGTATGTTACTCACCAGTGTTAGAGCAAGGTATCTGACTGTATTCACACTCCCTTTCATGCCTGTCTATGGACTCCAGAGAACACACCATTTCACAGCCATACTCTCTGTTTTTGCAATGTAGCTGAAGACGATTTAAATCATTTTTCATATACCTATGTGAAAAAAAAAAAAATATGGGAACATTATGGAAAAAATCTGTATTTTCAACTTTTGGAAAAAGAAAGTAGGATTCAAATCTCCACTATGGAAAACTGTGAATAATCAGTTTAATTTTTTTTTTTTAAAGCATTCAAGTGACCATACTGGAAAAGAACGGGCTTAAAAGAAACACTGTCAATGGAAAATTCAGTCTCCAAAATCAAATGTGCAAATTAAATCTTTATTTTTTAATAGATTTTTAACCATGATCCTCCCCTAGTTCAGCAGATAGAACCAACAGCAAACGCTAGGCCTACTCATTTAAATTTTGTGTTTGTAAACATGCCAAACCAAACTGACTACAGTTGAGAACAGAGAAAACAATCTATAAATTAAACTCTAGGGTTCTGTCTACACTATACTTGGAAGTTTCCAGGCAGTAAAATCTCATTAGTGACACAAATATTGAGAGTACTTGGTTGGACTTGATGATCCTAGAGGTCCTTCCCAACCATAGTGATTCCATGATTCTATACCAATGGATTTAATTTAACATCTGTGGCTGAAGGTTTTAAGCCCAACATAGCTGTTAATCTGAGCAAGATTAGACAATGCAGGGATTAAACAGCAAGCAGTAGACAGTGATGAATCTCTGTGTGCTAGCAATAGCAGGAATAGAATAGAATAGTTCAGTTGGAAAGGGTCTACAGCCATCTGCCGACTGCCTGACCAACTATGGAAGACACTTGTGAAATCAGCCTGCTTTACATGGCAAGGTGGCTCAAGAGGTTCAGCCATTCTTATGGCTAAAGACCTTTCTAAAAGGGTTTTCAAGATCATAGCCATAAGAATTATTCATTACAAACAGCTCTACAGTATCTAGGTAAGACTGAAAAAAACCCCAAAAGGCAGAGTGTTTAGTGACTGCTGTCAACAGGTGCTTTACCTACTTTGTCTAAAAAGTACGGGAAAGTTTGGGTGCTGTAAAGACATTCAGAATAATATCCAGACATACCTAGAATCAGCATTCAAGACATAACAAGGTGGAGAACAAACAAAGTGTTCTTTCCATTTTGAAACCTTAATACTTTGAAAGTTAGTTATAATAATTAGAACTCACTAATAATTTCATGCAAGTCATTGGTTTCTGCCATACTCGTACTGGATAAAGACAATCTGAGTGACAGTACAGGACAGGACGCCGGAGGAGAGCCCCTAAACGCGCGTCATTTACCGTGCAGCGAGAGCAGCGCGTACCTGTAGAGAGGCCGCAGCAGAGACACGTCAATGCCCTGCCTGTCCTCAGGGCAGCTGCCGTGGCGGCCCAGCCAGCCGTGGATGCAGGCGCTGCAGAAGGCGTGCTCGCAGGGGGCCTGCAGCGGCTCCTCCAGCACGTCCCGGCAGATGGAGCACAGCAGCCCCTCGTTCACGTAGCCCACGAAGCGTTCGATGTCATAGCCCATGCTGCCACACTCCCAACCTACCACAGCAACACAGAGAAATAACGCCCTCCTTGGCCTGAATCGGCAGGGTTAGAGCCACAAAAAGGCCTGGAGGCAACTCTAGAAATATGGAAAACTTTACATGAGCCACGCTTGTTCTGGACACTGTTACTGAACACAGTTCTAGCAGCCGCAGTGAAACACAGAGTTGCTATTTACTTAAATTCTACCTGGAGCAGAAACATCCTTGAAGTTCAAATACAAATGTTTAGTTTCCGTTTTAATGCCTTCGATATAACGCCTAACAAACTTAGAAACCAGGGTCCTTACGGACAACAGCTGTGGCACTTTCAGCTAGCAGGTTTTGTATTTATGAACAGCACATCACTTAATATGTTGCTTTTATACCAAAAAAAAAAACCCCAAAAGGCCAAGACTGTCTGCTCATTGTAGACTTCTACTCCAGAGGGAACAGCATGAAATCTCCATATGCCTAGAAAAATACTTAGTAATTTTAATAAAGAAGCCAAAACTGCAGCTACCCCTGAAACCACAAGGAGCTACTGTGTTCCCCTACATGGTCTGTTCTATAAAACTGAGTAGCCTTTAAATGGATTTGAAAGCTTTGGGAAGAACTAACAGGAAATGTGCCTTCATCAAAACCCTGTCATGAGAAGCCCAGCAGAAACTGGCAAGGCTCCATGTAACTCACTTAGAAGAATATTTCCTTAACATACAAAATTACTTTTGTAACCCCAGTGAGACTTGTGAAAGACGTTTTCATTAGCTATACAGTTTTCTAAACAAAACAGAAAAGGAAGATAACCTACCTTCTTAGATTTTGCTACATATATACGTAGTTTTCTGATCAGTAAGACATGTAATCCTTTCTTCCTTCAGTTTCTTTTCACTGCTTTATTATGCCTGTGAGAAAAATTAGTCGGAAAAAGGCTTAGGAGTGTTTCCTAAGTTACCGAGTCCTGTATCTAACGAGCCAGCTGCTGAATAGGTGCTCTCCTAACAGCCCATTAAAACAACAAAGCAAGCCACTGTGAAACCTACAATTCAACACCAGAGATCTGACTAGAAGGGGAAAAAAAAATCAGTCTCCCTTTCAATTATTACTGATGCAGATACCACAAAATTGAACACCCTGCTGCCATTTAATTTTGAAATCTTACAGTTTTATTTGTAAGATTGACGATGACAGAATTCAGTATTATTGAAAAGCAGCAACTCAAATCTGCTAATTTTATATTCCTTACAAAGATGGAAGTTTCTTATCACACCTGGCTTTATCTGGGCATAATATGCAATTTTAAAACAAAACTATCACAGTCCAGTTCATTGTATTGACAACATTGCTCTGATGTGTAGCATAACTAAGGTTGCTCAATTAGAAAGGATGTCATCTCTTAATGCCTTACACTGATATCTAGCGATTGCAATATGACATTCAAAGAGAATGCCAATCTGAATTAGAACTGTGCAAGAACAATGATTATCTCCAAGGGCTAATGTCCAGTTTTGCTCTAAAGGGAAAAAAGAACTTTGCAATTTCTCTTCATGAATACAGTGTAAATCTGGAATTTAGTATCTCTTACATATATGACTACCAAAGCATATCTAATGAAAGGTGCTTGTGTTGAAAAGATATTTCCTAAGATTAAAGGGAATAAAACCTGTAACAAAAGGACACATTTTTGACTCAAGGATCTTAAAGATCTTTTCCAGCCTAAAGGATTCTATGGCAACACAAGTACACACACTACCTTAATACAAAACACATCACTGGCGACACAGTTTCCATAGTGTGCTGTTCTTGCTGGCATGCTTATCACACAGCCAACACCATGGCCTGCAGAGATGCCTTGAGCTGGCTTTAGATTAGCTGGGGCACCTACTAGCCGGGTGACCCAGTGACAGTGTTGTCACAGCAGCAGGGACTGCAACCCACAGAGACTCCTGAGCAGGCCCCAGGCAGATCCTGCAGGCTGCAGCTAGCTCTGTACTTCTGTGGCTGCACTGTCATCAACGATACAGGGAAACTAAATTTACACGTGTCTGGGACATGCTGCTCCTCTGGCCATAGCATGGATGTTCTGCATCTTAAAAGAGTCTGCTAAAGTCAATACCCTATTATGAAGATGATAATTCTTTTCACACTTGTTGTTTCCTTCTATGTTTTTCCAAGTCTCCTGCAAAGACAGGAAATTCAGGACTTCGCTGGTTCAGACATTATGTTTGCACAAAGCTGTGACTGTAAGGACAGCAAGGACCACAACTGAAGGTTTAAAAAGCAGAGATCGATGCTAATGAACGTGAAGTCAAGTACTAGTTTCCAGTACTGATGAAAGTATTAAAATATACAGTAGGTTCATGCTGGAGAATTGTTCAACAGCATAGGTACATTCTATAATTTGAATTGTGAGCCTAAAACTTTGATTTGGCTTGGTGGATCCCAGAGGATCCAGCTTGTAGAAAACTTGCAGAGAGACTTAAGACATGTCAACAGAACTGTGAGTATTTTTGCTGTCCTATGGCTTCTGCTCCACTGGAATTGTGGATGCTGGAAGCTTCATTTTCCACACTCATTGCTGTGATCCCTGAGCATTAAGTCTTGAGGCACTCTTGGGCATTTTTCAGCAAGTTAGAAGTCTGTCAGAATGCAGGAAAGAGAATTTTTAGCAAGTGGGAACCAAAAACTTTATTTGTGCTTGACAGAAAAATGAAGCCCCAACCAAAAGCAGAGTTGAAATGGAGAGTGGATGGGAACTTTAAGGTGAAGAATTCACTCAAGGGGGTTTCTGATGAGAGCTTCAGTATGCTCTGAAGACTGATGTTGGAACAGTACCACCCCGCACAGTGCCAGAAGCCTTGTGGTTTTCAGCATGAGATCTTCGACAACAGCTGTCACTGACGTCCCAGACCTCTTCCAGTACCAATTTCCTGACCTAAAGAACCAGAGATGTTTTATCTTCTTCCAGCTTCAAGAGCTGCACTTTAGTCAACAGAGAGACAGAGGGAGAGCATCAGATGGCTGCCACGCACTGCAGCAGTACAGATCACCACTCAGTACTTCCCCCACAGAATGACATAATTTTCAACTGCTGCGCTTCCCCAGAAACTTCTTGACTTGGCCTCAAAACCTATTCTACTACAGTTCACCAGCAGTCACTCCTTTTTTGTTTGCACCTAGAAACGACATTACTTGCCATCGCCCTCGCACACTCCACTAATATTCCCAAACCTTGCCTTGTCTTTGGTTTCTCTGGCCTAGAATCTTGCACATCACCAGCGACACCACCCACGATATCTGGAATTTGTGGGTTCCAAATCTGGAAGGCAGAAAACCCACAAACTATTACTTGCTGTTTGCTTTCCATTGTTTCACATATTTCCCCCATAGTTTTTGATATGAAAAAATCTCCAGATTTCACAGATGAAATTAAAGTAATTTTAAGTAGCTGTCATTCCCTGCTTGCCAGGCAGATGCACACCTAAAAGCAGCCCTGAGCTACATACTGCACTGTCCTCAAACAGAGGTTTTTTGTGGATATACCAGCAGGGAAGAATACAGATGGGACGTAGTTCCCAACAGTGTAATTGCAGAGCTTGCTAAATGTCTGGCACCAATCAAAACTATTCCACTGTAAAAATCAGGACTCTAAAATCAGATTAGCTACTTGCATTTTTTTGTCTCCAGCAGCTTCTGATTTTTAAAAACTGTTTCTTTTCCACGGGACAAAGCAAAGCATAGCTGTTCAAAGGGTTGGGATGAACCATGACAGAACTACAGGCATGCACCACTGAGACAGCACTTTCAGAAGGGCTGTGTAGCTGTAGGAACAATCTGCACAGGGCCCAGCTTCTACTTTCACAAAAATAGTGTTATAAATCCTGCTATACAAAAGCAATGTTTCAAGGTGCCTTGTGCCACTCTGCCACAGTCACTGTCAGCCACTTTAAGACAGCATTTATGTCTCACCCCTTCAACTGTGACAGTACAAGCTGTTTCTACAGGCACCTGTTCTATCATACTGGTTAACTGCCCTGTTTTAAGACTGAACTGGAAAAAAAAAAAAAAGTATTGACGGTTGTCCTGCAGCAGCCCAAGCCAATCAATCCACTCAATGTGCTCCTATCCTCTCTCCTCTTCCTCCCTTGAATCAGTTAGAACATTTAATTTGGCTGTTTCCTGAACTGGCTCAGACTACTAACCACACAGGCAACTACTCATTGATTTGCTAGGCTAGATTTTCTTGTAGATGGCTCAGCAAAAGCTCCAGTGACTGCAAAAGTGGAGCAAGACAGCGGATGAGAACCTGCGGCCAGTGCAGTGAGGAAAGAGAGCAGCAGGGTCTGTAGTTAAGGCTGCTGCAGAGCTGCCCTCTGCCCCTCTCGGCTCCCGAGACTGGTTCACTGTGGAGTCTCATTAACATTTGTGTAAGAGAAAGGGCACAGAAAGAGT